CGAGCACGGCGCTGGCTACCGCACCACACGAAAAAGGAGCCTCCACGGACGGATCTACTTGCACATTCTGATGACCACCTCTTCCACCCAGCATCGTAAGCTGGCTGGGCCCCAGCAACAAGAACTCTGAGGTTGGCATGTGGAGCAAAGCAGCGACGTTGACTTCACGGATCAAGCCTTCCAGATATGCCTCGACAACTTCCTGAAAGCCACCTCGAAGATGGTGAGGAGCGCGGTGAACGTGGACCGAACTTCTCACCTAGGGTCGCTGGCGAGACAGATGGACACCTACGCAGCATCAGGCAACACTCATAATGAGTGGCGCATGATGAAGATACTTCTCCGCTACGGAGGCAGGGCGGGACGAGCTGGTCGGTTCCCGATGCTGAAGAAGGATGGCACCACGGCAAGCTCCAACGCAGAGGCAGAGGACATGGTTCCCAAACATTTCGCGGACATCGAGGACGCGCAGGTGTTGGACGGCATGGAGCTAGGGCGCCTTTACAATCAGCGACTTCATCATGGTCCCGAGACAACGGATATTGACCCGCGTTTATTACCTTCACCATCGGTCGCGAGCGGCATGCCCACGAAAGCAAAGAGGCGCAAGGCACCAGGGCAGGACGGCATCAGCGGAGACATCTTGCGACAATTTCCACAGGAGCTAGCTCGACATGTTCATCCAGTTGTTAACAAGACTAGTGCATATCAGCAGGAACCGTATAGATGGAAACACAGCACTGCGTACCCTTTGTTCAAAGGCACTGGCAGCTACTCGCCATTGGAGTTCTACCGATCTATACTTCTGAACAGCACAGTGGCGAAGTGCTGGCACAGGTTCTTGCGTGACCAGGTCAGCGAATACCTAGATATCTGGCTTCATGCGACGCAGTGCGGAGGAAGGCCCCACAAAGGTCCATCGGCTCTGGCACAGATTGCGCCTACGTTTCTCAAAGCAGCGGTACGCCAACACCGGGGAGCTGTTCTGCACTGCGTTGACCTGGTCTATGCGTTCTACTCGGCAGTTCGCAGTTTCGTCATACCTACCATATCCAACGTGGACGGTGACATTGCATATGTTGAGAATAATCACGAGCTGCCGATTACAATGCTTCCACTTTTCTCTGTCATACTGGGTCGGTCGTCGGCGCTGGCGAACCGAAGGGGCATCCCCACATCTGCTTGCGCTTCTCATCGAGAGCCACCGCGACACGCATTTCGGCACGGACAACCTACCGCAGGTGGCTCGATCAAGGAGAGGTTCAAGACCAGGCAGCTCATTGGCGGACGCAATATTCAATGCAGCCTTCTGCAAACCACTTAATGCAGTGGACGAGGCAGTTCGCGCTCCAGCTTGCTGCCTACTGCTTCATCCAGAAGGGCTTCTTCAGACGTTGTCCCAGGGTGCGCAGGAGGAACCCTTGGTCGGCGCGTCTGCTGTAGACGATGTGCTGTTTCTGCAGGCTCCGCCAGCCACGACCGACCCGATTGAACTGTCTGGGAAATTGATCGACGCAGTTCACAAGTACATGCTGACGCATGGGTTCACACCCAATCACAAGCGTGTCAAACAAAGCATATTTATCATCCCTGGACCTCAACATGCCCTTGGATTGCGACAAAAACTGGAGGCCAGCCATGAACAGATGATTGAATCGGAAGTATGGGGGGTCACAATGTTCATGTCGTTCGTGAGTACAAGTACTTGGGAACCATGTTAGACATGTTTGGCACGCTTGGCTGCCGAGCCGCGCGAGCGATACAGAAGCATCGGGCGGCCTTGGCCCCAATCAGAAGGATGTGCGAGCGTTTCGGCGGCATGACACTACCTGCTCGAACCAACCTAGTGGACACGATGGTCAACGTTTACCTGCTCTACCTGGTGGAAGTCTGGGAAGCTATACTACGGTCACCCCTACATAAGTTGGAAGCAGCGAGGGTTCAGGCATACAGAGTCGCGCAAGGTCGTCAACATCATCGCGACACAGAGGTACCCCATACAGACTTGGACATCCTGCGCTCAGCCAAAAGAGTTCCACTGGAACTGCTTTTTCGCATGCGTTGGCTCATGTATTTCAGCTCGCTTTTCGTGGAGGCAACTGCTGCAGTGCACTTCTTGACCGATTGGGCAGCACCGATACCAGGCTCTTGGACGACTTTGATTGAACAAGGCTTCGCTTGGATTGCTACATACGACACGGATGACACCCGACAGCAGTGCAGCAGTGGACACTACGGCAGTGGTTTCTCTTTGCGAAATATTACTCTCAGGGCCTCCGGACTGCAAGCAAGCGAGCCTGGGGCCCCGCGGTGCCAGCCACCCTGGAGTCCATGCAGGTCGAGCAATGGCAGAAGCAGCTTCTCAGAATAAGAGGGGATGACCATCACCAGCAACCACTGATCACGAAGCTGATCTGCTACACCTGCGGGTGGACGACTATGCGAGCGCCTGCGTGAAGGAAACATCAGCTTGACCACCAACCAATCGACGATGCGCAGAGGGTGGCCAGAGGCACCCAATGCGGTGCGTGCGGCACAATATTTTCTGACCGGTCGAACCTCTTCCGCCACCTCCGAAGGCCTAGCAACACCTGCCTGAACTACATGCTTGGGCAGGGGGATTTGTAGGCCGAAGCACTTCGGCAGGAGGATATTGTTCGCGAGCGGTTGATGATACAAAAGGGCTACAACTATCGTCGCGTCTTTAAGCATGCACAACGAACAATACACTGGGGCGGGGGGCGGGGCGCAACACACATTCCGCCAGCACCACCAGCAGTACAGCTACCCGTCCATCGAGAAGAACCACAGCTACAACGGCTATGTGGGACACCAGGGCGGCAACAACTCCACCATATATTCTCTGGAGATTGCATGGCTTTTGACACTTTAGATTGGGCCGACCGCATTACGAGCCAGCATTTCGAACAGATTCGCGTTCCGATTTGTGGCGACGAAGGAACTTTGACGATTTTGGGTGACAACCAACTGAGAGAGATGATGAATGATACGACTAAAGGGAAAGTTGCTGGACTCAGACTCTCACCGCACACAGCTACCTGGACGAGTTTTGATCATGATAATGTGCAGAGCAAGGTTTTTAGGGCTGATGTGCACCCGTGGGGCATACCTACACTTGGTGAACACTCTGGGCGACGGCCTCTTGCAGAAAACAGTCAGGTTAGAGCATCGTGGTCATTGCTGGAGGCTGCACACATCACTGGAGCGGCAGCCTGCTTGGTTCTGCCATATGATGATGTCACGAAGATCTGCGAGGTGGTGCCCGACATTGGCAATATGGTAGGCAGCGCTTTCGAAGTTGCGCGGCTGGACCTCTGCATGTTGGGGGCAGACAGCGTGCTCCCCACGTCTCTGGTTTACACGCACATGGTATTCAATCTGGAGGCTGAGAGATGTCGCTGCGCACACCATGCGCATGCTGCAGCTGATCATCTGAAGGCTTGGCCGCATGGCCTCTCCCACGCGCTCGCGCAGGCTTTTGCTGAGGCCAGCATCCCTGCGCAGGCTCTAGCTGCTCGCAGGAGGCGCTCGCCCCCTGCCCTGCAGCCCTAAGGATGACTTTGGCGAATGGGGGGCTGGGAGTTCAGGATGCTGTGAGATGATGTTGCTTGCTTGCCTGCGCGCTGTGACTGCTGCCGATCTCTCGTGGCTTACTAGACGCGCGAGGCGAGCTAGTGGAGGCGGTGCGGAGGCGGAGCGAATGAGCCTGGCATAATGGCCCCCCCTCGCGCCCGCCCCCATGCTTCTGTCCAGCCTCCCCGCCTCGTCTCCACCATCATCGCTGCTGCTCCTTGCTCCACCTCGCGCGGTGTCGGCCTGCTGGCCGCCTGCACTTGCAGGGGGGGACTCCGCGTTGCTCGTGGAGTCCGCCCTTCTCGCTCGACCAGGCCCTCCCCGTCTTCCAGGCCCTCAGGACTATCTAGTTGTCCGTGTACATCAACGACCTGGTCGAGCGACCTTCACTGTTTCTCGCGCTGTCGTGCTCCCGCCTGTATTTCGAAGGCCTTTTGGAGCACAGGCAAAGCGCCTGCCCTTGATTGCCCGCCGCCGGCAGGCCCTCTGACGCCACAGGTGCGATCGCCTAGCGGCCTGCGCAGAAAAAAGGGAGGAGGGGCTGCGCTGTTTCAATCTGGGGACCTCGCTCGAGAGGCTTCGCCGACGCTCGAGACCCGAAGCTCTCCGACGCGTGCACCGCTGCACGGATCCAGAGCGGCTGCTCTCTTCGACGCGGAGCTCTCTCGCCGGAGACGCTTCCTGGAACTGCAGATGCAGCTGCGCGCAACGGCTGCACGGACGAGGGGGAGGAGTGGCACTACCAGGGTTGCGTTGCTCCCATCGTACTCAAGGTCCACATTCCAGAAATAATTGCGAGCACCCAGAAAGGCGTCGAAAGAGTGTCGAAACAGTGTCGAAACAATGTCGAAACAGTGTCTCCCAGGGCCCGACACATGAAAACCTTCAAGTTTTTGAGTGCTTGTTCTGGCGCTCGAAATTCTTTCTGGCGATCAAGGCTAAAGTAAGTTGGAACATCATAACACTAGGGGGCCACATGCGAACCCTACCCCTACGCCCCACGATTTCCGAGGGAGAAGGTGGGGTTCACTCCGTTCGGGAGCTCCCGAGCGCAGTGAAGCCCACCCTCCCCCTCAGAAGTCGTGGGGGGTAGGGGGGTAGGGTTCGCATGTGGCCCCCTAACAACTGCTGACACCGAATGTGATAACATCCAGCAGACGCAAGTCATCGTGAATAGCACTGAGACTATGGGCAACACGACTGCAATCGGCAGCGACTCCGCTGACAAGCGAAAGGACGTGCATGGCACTGGGGTCGTTGACAGCGTTATTGCAAACGCCACCGTCAGCAAGCTCGCCATCGATAATGGCACCACCGGTTAACTGTAGAGGCGTACCGCAGACCAGTCCCGGATATGCGGCGACATGTCTCCTACCGGCCAGTCGCTCTTCCAAAACGGCAACCGTTCACTTCCCATTGTTGTCGGCCACGAGCTTGGTCTCGAATTCCTTCGCGGCTTCAAGACTGGTCGGACGATACACGCGCAGAATCAGGGCTGCGCCGCCTTCGGGCATGTCGATCTGATTGGCCTTCGACTTACAGTCCTGGTTGTTGCCCACGAAGATCGAGAAGCTGCCGTCATCATTGGACTCCGCCTTGTAGGCGCTCAGAGCCGCGCTGTCGGTGCCCAGGTAGTCTTCCATGTTGTACGCGGTCAGGCTCCAGTAGCCAAGGTTATCGTAGTCGACCGGCGGTTTAGCAAAACTCACCTCGGTGCAATCGGCTTTCTTGATGACCACATTGCTGCAATAGGCATCCTCGAGCGGCATTAGCCCTCAGCCCAGCAGCGACGTGAAGATGCAACTAATTGTACTTCTCCAAATCAGCGCCGTCCTTGAGCAACACGGTGCCGAGGATAAGTTCCTTAACATAGGCGGTCTGGTTCTTCACCAGCACGATGCCGCCAGCAAGCATCCGCTTGGCTTCGGTCAGTTGCTCCTTGTCGTAGCCAGGTCCATCATAGTCGGTCGCCGACTTGGGCTCCATTTTCACCGCGTCCTGCGCCGCGTTCGCGGCCTCGGTACCCTTGTCGGTGCTCGTGCGCATCATGGCATAGATATGCTTGTCCTCGGTGCTCACCTCATCGGCGGTCACCACCCGGCTTTCGCCGCAATAGGCTACGCCGATCTGGTCATGGTTGGCATCGAACATGTGAAAGGACTGGTAGCCCACAGAGCAGTTCGGAAAGGTCACGGTAATGCCTTCCGAGACATCGAACACGCCCTGCGAATAGAGCATGTCGGACTGCGAGCGCACGATGGTCTGGGTTTCGACGGTGGCTGGTTTGCGGGCGTGGGCGAAGGTGCTGATCCCGCCGGCCCGTTCGATCGTATCGCTGAAGATCTTCTCGGACTCTGCGGCAGTGAGTAAATCCACTGGCTTACCTCCTGCAAAGGCCGGAGCTACCGCCATAGCGGCGACAAGGGCCGTGGACGCTGAAAGTGTGCCGTGAGCAGATCTGGCAGTGTTGAGCATACTGAACCTCCTTGAATCAAAATGGCTACGGACGGATGAGGGGCAGGAGGAGGAGGAAGAGGAGGAGGAGGAGGACGAGTGAGGGGGCGGTCCTTTATTCGAAGATGGGATACCGCTGGACGCCTCGCTGAACTGCATGATCATAGCTGCTCGCACTCTTGACAGCGTGGCAGGAGGATGTAGGGCAATCTATTGTCAAAACGGGACCCTCGCTAAACTGGCAGGCCCAACTCTACGGGTCCTTCAAGGGGGATGGCCCTCTTGTTGTGAAAAGGAATACCTATATTCGTGAAGGCAGGGTATATTGCAGCATCACAGATGCATCGTGGGTTTACTCTGGTCCTCCTCCTTCTCCTCCTCCTCCTCCTCCTCCTCCTCCTCCTCCTCCTGCTCCGTCTTCCTCCCCCACGTGTTCCTCAAAGCAGATGGGAGGACATATACGTAGTCCAAATTATTGGCCAGACTCTGGCCCAACGTTTGGCCACACTTCTAAAAGACAGGGGGCGGCGGTGGTTCGCAGTAGGCGTCTTCGATTCGGATCCCGAAAGCCAAGCACTTGGGGGGGATACGGTCGCATCGCTTCCTGTTGCGAGCCGTTTGACGGCCTCCTGACTGCGTCCTCCCCAGCATCGAGACCTCAACGAAACGCCTGAGTCCTGCAGCTACGATGGCCCAGCCACTTTCTGTATCAGTTTGGCAGGTAAAGCGAAATCTGCAGCATGGGCATCTTGCGACTCGCGCCCGCCCCACCCCGCAAGAACATCACCTCAGAGTTTTCAAGCCAGGCCCACTATGTTAGACAATTGTGACGGGGGGGGACGCTTTCTGCCTGAAGAAAGGCGGGCCAACGAAAATGTTCACGCTGGGAATGCGAAAGAGCAAATAACGCTCTCTGGAAGACAAGCTGGCCTAAACCAATCGAATTGGCGGAGTCCTTCAGGAAGAAACATTCCTACGGAATGACGCCTACTTTGCCATCCGACTTCAATACACAGAATGCGTCGGGACAGGCAGGTACGGTATTGCTGACTCCAAAGGCAGACATGACTGATGCATGATGCCTCGACTGCGCGGGGGCATCCTCAAGAACATGGTTACCCCCATGTGTCAGGTCCAGGCCGTGGCACTCGCATGAGGGCTGCGACGATGAGAAGGGTTTCACGCAGATAGTGAGTGAGGCCAGACAGACGGGAGCTTACCTCCATGTGTCAGTTCCAGGCCGTGGCACTCGCATTAGGGCTGCGACGATGAGAAAGGTTTCACGCAGATAGTGAGTGAGGCCAGACAGACGGGAGCTTACCTCCATGTGTCAGGTCCAGGCCGTGGCACTCGCATGAGGGCTGCGACGATGAGAAAGGTTTCACGCAGATAGTGAGTGAGGCCAGACAGACGGGAGCTTACCTCCATGTGTCAGGTCCAGGCCGTGGCGCTCGCACGAGGGCTGCGACGATGAGAAGGGTTTCACGCAGATAGTGAGTGAGGCCAGACAGACGGGAGCTTACCTCCGTGTGTCAGGTCCTGGCCGTGGCACTCGCACGAGGGCTGCGACGATGAGAAGGGTTTCGCGCAGGCAGCGAGTGAGGTCAGACAAACTCGGGAGCGGCCAAGAGGGGGGCGTTCAAGAGGGGGGGGTGCAAATCATGACCGGCGGCATGTGCGCGGCCCAGCGGGGAGGCCAGGGACGTAATGAACTAAGAAGAGGCGGCATGAAGTCTGGGGAAATGTCATGGCCCCCGCCATGATATCCACCCCCCCCCTAGTCCTCACCCCCCTCTTTGCCGCCCCCGACAGACGGGAGCTCCCCACAGCCATCGACCGATCCGCCCGGCGCAGCTTTTCCCACCCGAGCAGGCGCCCGCACGAGCCGTCCGAGCACGGGCGCCCCGCACGAGCGGAGCAGATCGGCGAGGCGATCATCCTCCCACGAGCGCAGGCTGCCACGGCGTGTGAGGCAGGGCCGAAGGGGCCCACAGCCACACAGGTACAGACACACAGATCACAGGAATCCCCATACATAAATTGGTCCACAGCTTCTGGGCTTCTGTCTTCCCCCCCCCACCTCCCATACTTTCCCACATCTTCCTGGTGTGCGCCTTCGACGCCGAGCGCGTCGCGAATCGAGCTGCCCGGACTGGGACTGCCATCGATCCACACGAGAGCACGAGACCCCGAGGCGTGAAGGGCAGCTGGAGAAGAGGCATGGGAGCCGATCGGGTGCGATTGCACCGGACGGCGCCATCGACAGCGAAGCGCTCGATCGATCGATCGGAATCGAACTTCACCCCGCCAAGGAGCCCTGAACAGCGTGTGCAAAGAGACAACCCGGCACGGCACAGCACGCCCCGGCACCGAGCGCCGCTGCACGCGGCACCGGCAGGGCACCGCACGGACCCGCCCCACGAGAGCACGAGTCGCAGCCACGGCACCCTCACGCTGGGGCCTCCGCACAGGGGGCCACATGCGAACCCCACCCTCCCCCTCCAAAATCGTGGGGGGCAGGGGTAGGGTTCGCATGTGGCCCCCGATCAGTAGGGTACACATTATGTTGCGTCATGCGTTGCGCCGAAGTTTTTCCTGGCCAACCTGTGGTGTTGGGTCCTCGTTTTAAAGAGACAGCGCCCCGCGCCTCCTTCCTTCCCTCCCGCTGCCCTCCTCCCTCCTCCCATACCCGCCTCTGCTCTCCGCTTCCGGCACACGCCTCACACGTTTCGTGGCCCCGTAGGGAGCATCCGAAGGCCCCAGTGGTACAGTCCGCATGGCGTGCCCACACTCTATTCGGCACACGCCTCACACGTTCCGTGGCCCCGTAGGGAGCTGCACCGAAGGCCCCAACGGCACAGTCCGCACAGCCAACCCGCACCTGATTCGGCACACTCCATCACACAGTTCGTGGCCTCTAGGGGACTCCACCGAAGGCCCCAGAGGCACAGTCCGCATGGCGCACCCGCACCACATTCGGCACACCGCTCACACGTTTCGTAGCCCCAGAAGGGGGCTCCACCGAAGACCCCAATGGCACAATCCGCATGGCGTACCCGCACCCCAAAGGGCATACCCATGAAACGTTTCGCGCATGGCGCACTCGCACCCCGTTGGGCACACCCCTCATACGATTTGTGGTCCCATTAGGGAGCTCCACCGAAGGCCACAGTGGCACGGTCCGCATAGCGTACCCGCTTCCGATTCGGCACGCGCCTCACACGTTCCGTGGCCCCCTAAAGTAGCTCAACCGAAAGCCCCAGTCGCTCAGTCCGCAAGGCGTACCCGCACCCGATTTGGCACACGCCTCGCACGCTTCGTGGCCCCATAGGGAGCTCCACCCAAGGTCCCAGAGCCACAACCCGCGTGGCGCACCCGCAGCCGACTCGGCACACCCCTCATACGTTCCGTGGCCTCACAGTGAGCTCCACCGAAAACGACTCACAACTGCTGTAAGTAAATCTGCATCTGGTTGGGTCATTCGCCTGGATAACTGCTGTTGATGGGGGAAGAAGAGCGCGATCCTAGATTGCGCCTCCGTAGTACGTGACTGCTAGCCTGGCCACTCCAAGTGACAAGCAAAAGGTCACGTTGGTCTGGCGCCGACCCCCACAAGGATCTCTGGTCGAAGTCTGCTACACATGGGAGGGGAGCGGAAGAGGAGGAGGAGTGACGTTGCCTGCAAGAGGCTCAGGGGGTGCTATAGGTCGCGCCGAAGTCTGTCATAAGCTGCGCAAAAAGATGTGCCGAAGCTGTCATAGGTTGCGCCATTGGTTATGCCATGGGTTACACCAGATGTTGCGCCGTAGGTTTCGCCAAAGGTGGCGCTACAGGTCGTGCCGTCGCACCAAATGTTGCGCGGTTGCGCCAGGGGTTGCGGCATAGGTTTCGCACGGCACGCATCACCGAATTACGATTTGCCCCATTGTGCCTATGTTACGTCATGCGCTGCGTACGGCACGCCCTACCGAACCACGATGTGCCCCAGTCTCCATAGGTTGCGCAATATGTTGCGCCATTATTTACGCACAGCTCGACCTAGTTATAGAATCACATATTGCCCCAGTCTGTGCCCTTGTACGATTTCAAACAAGACCCAACCTCCGCTGTGTAAAGAAGCTTACACCATAGGCTGCGACGTAGGTGGCCATACAGGTTGCGTCAGGTCCCCGCGCCCTACAGAATTACGAATGTTCTTTCACTGCGCAGATTCCATGTACTGCCCCTCCCGGAATTCGATTTCTCAGTGTGTCGACCTCCCACAGACTACCCAAGGCTTCTCGCGCCCCTACCGAATCGCGGCTTCCCCACTCTG